AAGATGCAACTAATAAATGATATATAATAGTAAAAAGCTAAAAATTACAGAGTAAAAAAGAAAATGCAGTGTGCATGTGGAAAGTAGCTTTCTGCAGGTTAGATTTAATGCATTGTTAATGGATAAGAAAATGTACTGAGTGGGGGGGACGAGCCAGAGAGGTCAAGGCGTAGATTTAAATGTTGGACTGTGAAAAAAATATCACTGAAGGATAAATGTGACAGCTCTTTTCTTCTTCGGTGTCTTGGAAACAGAAGTTCTCTGTGCTGATTTTGATGTTTCAAGTGGAAGTGGAGCAGAATAATCCGAAAAGCATAAACAATGTGCTTTTAATAGTATTTATTTCACACATTTGTTAATTTTTTTTCTCAATCTAGCCCAAAGGAGTAAAAAAAAACAACAAAAAATAACATTTCAAAGAGCTGTGTTTTGTTCTCCTTCTCGGTACAACCCTGACCCTGCCTTAGAGGAGTCCCTGTTTTAGCAACTTTAGTTACATATTAATAAGTATATAAATTAATAAATACTTTTAGCAATAAAGAAGGCAACCTTGTTGGATAAAAAATGACATTTCATTAAGTTCCACCGGAACAACCCAACAATCATTGGCACACTTTGCAGGTAGACAGCAAACATTAAATTGTTTCTTTCTTTTAATTCAAATTACAATGAGTCATGCAGCACTAGACATAGCTTTGTTCTAATTAATATTATTTTACAATGCAGCTGTGTATAATTTACTACATGGAAGGGTTGTTATTTTTTTAAGAGCCTAACCCTGACTTTCCACCAGATGCTAGCTAGGGGTTGTATCAACTAGTCGACTTCACTGCTCTGTAGTGACTTTTTATGCCTTTCATAGACTAGTCGCTGTCACGTGATAATGACCGACAAGATGGAGTCCTCGGAAAAGACAGCCGGCGACGAGTATCAGACAGAGCATCGGTATCTGACACCCACGGTAAAACGGACATTTGACCGAATTGTGACGTTTACCCTCTTACAATTTAACATTCCCCTCACCCCCATCCTAACCTTAACCAGCTTGCGCATGCAAAGCTCTGATCGTTGACGCGATCCAGACATCTGCGTCCTGAGCACGGTCACAGTAACATTATCAAATCAGGTGTCACCACTCAAAAACAAATGTAACGCGATCTTTCATGTCGGCTCATTTCCTTTTATGTTTTCTGTCTTTTACTTGTGCCTGATGCTCCCCGCTGCTGTGGAGCGGGGCGCATCACCTGTTTTGTCCTCCGGTGATTTAACCTCACTGGTGCGGCCGGCAGCACTCCACTGTTTTTGCGGTCGGTAGATCATTTTGAACTGCAATTCAAAGGTAACTCATAAGGTAGCAGTAAGCCAGGTAGCAGTTTTTTTTTTTTTTTTTTTTTAGGATTGAGAGGAGATGCAGGAAGATAATAAACAGACAGAACAGAAAAATTTTCAAATATAAACAAGTTCACTTTTGTACCTGGTGGTTGAAACAAACAGACACCATTGAAGGTAATCAGAAGTGAGGAACAGAAAATAAAATAATTATTTTAATGTTTAGAGCAGCAGGAACTCTGAGAGGCTGCAGGCGCATCAGTGAGTTTGCGGCCGCTGCGCAGGGGGAGGGCTGAAGCGGGGGAACAGTAAAGATGCAGAAACTACCATTGTTAAAAGAGATGTGTGTTAACTTTGAAATTGTGGGCGCAATTTTAATTGTCAAATACTCCAGCGAACCAACCCGCTTCAGGTGTATGACATCATTAACAAATAATCAAAGTCAATTAGATTTTCATTACTTGACTGTCGACTTAAAAAAAAATAAGTCATGCAGCCCCTACCAGATGCGTATTTATAGCCTGACTTCTGTAAGGTGTAATGCCTAGCGAGATGCCGTTGGGTGTGCTTTCACCAGCCATGACGGGGCGTGTCTTCGACGCGTCCCAGAAGCGTATTGTCTCATCACTCTGCTATGGTTTCATTTTTAAGCACTGCACTACTAGAACACGTCAAGCTCAGGAGCTCAGATGGGGCAAACAGGAAGTGAAACACGGGAGCAGTGTGAAATATCCATCAACTTTCTAATTAAAAGACATTTCCAAAACCTACTGAAATCACACCTGATCTTAAAATTAACAGGTGATTTTGTGACCAGCTGCATAGAACTCTTCAGCTGTTGAAATGCGTCTGAAATGCTCCCATTGAGAAGAGATGCGTCGCTAAGCTTGTGGGGAGAATGCATCTTATTACGTTATGCACCGCTTTAGAAACGGACATCCATCCATTTGTGTTCATTTAGAATAATTATCAGCCTCTGTAAGTTATAATGCCTATGTGTATGAGAGTATTTAAATTTAACACTAAGAAAGTGTTTTCTGGACGTTTATCTACAATCGACTACGTTCTTGTCTCAAGCTGATTAAAGATGGCTACCGTAGCTAATCAACAATAGCAGCAACATCTTTAACTCGGGCATTTTTAAAGATACTGAGCTAAACACTGGTGTGGTAGTAGCTGAAGATTTATTTTTTTGTTTTGTTTTAGGAAAGGCAGCTTTATTTGTATAGCACATTTCAAACACAGAGGCAATCCAATGTGCTTTCTATTAGCGAGAATAGCAAGAACATCACAGTCAACATGACAGCACGATTAACATACACAAATAAATTTCAACCAAATTCATTTCAGATTTTAAGAATCAGGAAAAAGACGAAGTTAAAGGGTGAGCAGGTACAGTGCAGAAGGTGCAGCGTAAGAAACATTCATTCAAAGGCCGATGAATACATGAAAGTTTTCGATTTTTATTTAAAAGTTAGTTGAAGCACATTAACCATAAGGTAGCTGATTCCATCTGAGTGCAGGATAGTAGCTGAAAGCTGCTTCAACCTTTTTGGTTCTGACCCGGGGTTCTACCAGCAGACCGTTTCCTAAGGACCTCAGAGCCCTGCTACACAGAAGGGAGGTCCATCATGTATTCTGACCCTATGCCATTGAGTGATTTATGAACTAGTAGAAGTAATTTGAAATTGATTACATAGTTTACTGGTAACCAGTGCAGAGATTGAAGAACAGGAGTGATGTGCTAGGATCTCTTGGTTCTTTTTAAGACACAAGCTGCAGCATTCTGAATAAGCTGCAGTTGCTTCAGTTTTTTTGGGAAAATCCAAAGGTCCAACACATTCTCACACCCAAGGCGTCAAAATATGACGCGTGTGACCAAGCCTCAATATATGACGATTCGGGACGCCACAGTGCGTCGGGAGACGACGGTCAGGGACACGCTGGAACACGTGGCTCCGCTGTCGTCACTGTTTGACGCCCGCGGTCACACGGACATTATTCGACTATTTAACCCTCCCCTCACCCCAATCCTAACCTTAAGGTCCATAAACTGTGACCTTAAGGTTAGGATTTGGGTGAGGGGAAGGTTAAGTAGTTCACAAGTAGTTCTAATGTCCGTCTCAGCACCGGCGTCGGATACCGACGCTCTGGGACGCTGCGTCAGCAGTTTGTCCCTGATTGTCGTCTCCTGACACGCTGGGGAGTCCCGATTCGTCATATATTGAGGCTTGGTCACACGTGTCATATTTTGACGCCTTGGGTGTGAGAATGTGTTGAAAAGACCGTTGCAAATAGTCCAGCCTGCTGGAGATGAACGCATGAATGAGTTCCTCCGGATCTTGTCTGGATATGAGACCTCTGAGTCGTGCTATTTGAAAAAGACAACAAAACACTGATCTAGTTATAGTTATAGTTTTATTAGTCTTAAAATTAACATTTTCAAAATCTCATACATATATAAGAGTTAGTTTTTACTTGGCTTAAAAACAAAAACCTGAGATAAATCATTCAGTTTGGATGTAAAAAAGATATATTTGCCTTAAATATAAATATCAGGCACTCCTCATATACATAATATGATAGTCACCACGGAAAGCCCTTACCATACAGAGACAATCCGTGGTTTCCGTCTCCCTCTGTGCTCACCGTCTGTCTCTTCTTGTTTCCTATCTGCTCTGGCATTTTGGCTCCTACTTCATCAAAAAGGGTCAAGGCTCAGTATGAAAACATGGCATCACAGGTTTTTATTATCTCTGGTTTTTATTTAATTTAGCAACACTGCCAATTTACTCCTTTAACGATAACTCCTAATACTCACTTCCACTCCCAGCTTTACATACTTCATCCCAATTATCTTTCTTTACCTTTCTTTTCCCTCAACTTTGTGATGTGCTGTACAATCACTTTTGCTCTGAGCCAATTAACTGCACAGATAGTCAAGACTTAGCACGAACTTGGGGACGTTCCTACGATCAGGTCAAACAGGGACTGAGTTCCTCGCAGCAGGAAATGCCCGATGCACGTTCTTGTCAATTAGACCGCCCTAATCTGTCTTGAGTCGATCCGATCCGTAAGAAGGCATGCACCCCTAGATGTCTGGATGTGGAAGTGCAAAATGTCAGGCTGTCAAACAGACCGCGCCTGTCTGTCAGCAGCTTTATTCAGCAGGTCAGCTTTGGCAACAATGGATGCTTCTTCATAGGATTCAGCTCTCATTCACACACGGCTAAGCGTGCAGGATTTAACAGAACCAGGCTGTCAGTGTTTCGCCTCCTTGTTCCCCTCTGCCTATTGTTCTGGTGATTGCAGAGAAACCCATTGACTCTTGTTACGCTTAACTGGATTGTGACTACGGAGAAACATTGTGCAGAGAAATATTAGACGGAGAGTTTTGCCACATCGGTTTTCTTGCACAAAAACGAGTGTTGGGGAATATTAGAGAAATGCTCATTTTTCAGCCTGCACATTTGTAAAGCTGTAAAAATGAAAAACTCTGCACACACATTAATGTAGCAGAAATCACAGTTTTTCTTTCCCCATCTGTTCCTTTTAAAATAAATCCGCTTTAATGGCATAAATAAACTCCCATGCAATACTTTTTATTTCATTTCCACTGACTGAACGGTCTTTGTCACTGTTTGACTTTCTGGTCTCCCGTGTCTTCCCAGATGCCTCTGTCTCAGGGGACACCAAGTCTCGAGTGACTGACAGCTCCCAGTCGCCCAGCTATCGGATCAGAACCGAGTCAGAGCAGGTGTCTCTGTACTCCCCGGAGCAGTCCTCCCTTCATGAAAGTGAGGGTCTGTTATTGCCTTCAGTCTAGCTCTTTTCTCACCCCACTTTTTAATTATTTTTCCTCAGAAAATTTCCAACTACAATAACTCCCTTCCTTTTTTTTTCCACATAGATGACCTTCTTTATGTCCTTCAGCGTCCTATTCTTTGACATTTTTGTGCTTTCTTTGAATTTGCATGTAGGTTTCATTTCAAATATTAATATCCATGTGTAGGTTTTGCATACCTAATTTCACCTTCCTTGCATCCACAGCACAACAATCCCCCATTGAGGCCCATCTGAGAACAGAGGCTGCAGATGTAGAATAAACCAATCTTTTCTCTGCACAGTCTGTTGCAAATCTCCAGCAATGATGTGTAAAAATGGCTCAAGTCCGTTTTAAAGAGGCTATTTGGAGCAGCTGATGCTTCATCTAAGGCTATAGGAAGCTGAATGAGGGTTCACCAGATCGCAGGGTGGTGTTCTCCTGCTGTGTTGTCATTAGAAAAGCCATTTAGCTAAAGGCCGTGTTTGTTATGAAACCTTTTTACACCACGCTAACCCCTAACCCCTTTCTACCTTGTTTACATTTAATTCATGCCTCTCACTCTTTCTCTCTCAGGGTCTGCGGGTAATTCCTGTGGCTCGGCCCAGATGAACTCCTACTCTGACAGCGGGTATCAAGATGCCAGCGGCGGCTACACCAGCGGTCAGAACCACGCCAAGTCGGAGCTGAAGATGCAGCACTCCTTTCCTGGAGGAGGCACCAGCACCTTGTTGAGGAACACCAGGGCTGAGGGCCAGACTTCATCCCAGGTTTGTATTAGTGGCTTCAGAAATTGCATTTCCTATTGCTTTGACCTTGCGATTACAGGAAAGTAAGACAGCGCAGAAGGTGCACGGTGAACCGAGCACTTCAACACAATCATGCTTCATACGGCTTTGTGCACAGAGACTGCTGAGAAACCAAATGGTGCGATCGCACTGGAGAAGGGGGTGGAAAGATAAACATGGCCCAGAGTAAAGTCATGCCCTGTGATGAAAGGCTTTAAATGAGTCTATTACAATGTTCATTATGTCCTCTTAAATATTAAATGCGGTTCTTTTTGGACATGAAGGTGTTTCTAGTTACCTTTTTACATGTTTCGACCGTCGTATGCGGTCTTCTTCAGAAGTGTCACAGGTGTTTGTGTGACGCGTCTTTATCAGCTGTTCTTCTGGTGGGCGTGACCAACCCGGATCTGTCAGATCCGCCGGGTCGGTCGCACCCACCTCCGCTGGCTGGTCTTTGGAGAAGGGAATCCCAGGTGCGAGACAGCTGATAGACCCCCTCGTCTCTGTTCATGTTCCAGTGTTCCTGTTTCCTTATTTCTAATGCCTCCCTGACCCAGCCTTTGAACCGGTTGTTCTCCGTGTTGATAATTTTCCCTTGATCCCGGTCCATGATGTGATTATTTTATTTGCAATGATCTGAGATGGCTGACTTGAGGGTTTGCTCCTCTGCTTTTTTCTTTGTTGTCCTTGTGAGTCTTTCTGTTGTTTCCTTCTCGCATTCCTGCTTAAACGAGGCTGTTATTTAAAACCCTTTTTCCTTATGGCTTTGTTCTTAGTTCTTTACGACTTTCTGTAGAAAACTGAAGAAACAAATGGATGATTTTTATCATTTTCAGGTTCAGGCGGTGACAACAGCTCAGCCTGGTCGTGCTATGCGAAGGGTTAGCTCAGTGCCTTCTCGCTCCCACTCGCCAGCGTATGCCAGCAGCGTGTCTCCCTCCCGCGCCTCCCTGCGTACCTCAGTCGGCAGTGCCTACGGCTCCCCTATTGTAACTGAACCCAAACCTTTCTCCAACATCTTCACCACCACCTTGCCCTCTGTGCAGCGGACCAGCAGCATCAACAGCGGTTGCCCACCCTACTCTACTCAAAAAACCTCTCCAGCGGGGCTGCGCCGGGTGGGCTCAACAAACTCACGCTCAGGCTCTAATAGCCACTCCGCCTCTCCCTATCAGACCTCCGGAGGGTCGTCATCGGGCCACATGGGCTCCCCTCTGACAATGGCGGACAACGCGAACCCACCACTGACCAAGCAACCTACCCACTCGTCGTCTCCAGTTAGGGCTAGCATGACGGCTGTGCCCCAGCACTACAGCTCCACCCTGCCTCGCTCCATGCTCCACAACGCTGACCCCTATGGACCTCAGAGTTACGATATTTACGAGAGGATGACGCGACCGGACAGCCTCACAGGTGAATACACACACGCAGCTTCTTAAGGGTGATCTGTTTGGAGAAGATCACCAGTTGTGTGTTAGCATTTTAGGTGTGTGAAGGAATTTTTCTAAAACCTTGTTTTAAATAATCCAAAGTGAGGATTGACCGAAGGGAAAAATGAGGTGGTTTTCTGACTCTACATGTATGTTCTTTTTTTTTTTTAGGACTTATTTCGGAGTTTTTGTGTTTAGATCCAGGATGTAGATGGGGTAGAAATCAGTGCAGTCCTAAGAGGAAATAGCTCAGTGTGTGTGTAAGTCAGTCCTAAGAACAAGAGATCAGGAAGATAAATATTGAAGAACACACCTGCTTAAACATGTTTGTGTGTGTTAGCCTACTGGAAGACTAATGCAACAAAAGAAAAGATAGCAGATGCACCTGAATTCAAATCTTGTCTCAGTCTGCAGCCACACAGGAAGATAACAGCTTAAAAAGAAAAAAGAAAATCTGATTTTGCATTTTAGTGGGGATAGGCTGAACAAATGGCTCTGTGTGTGTTTTAGTAACACTTGTAGGGGCTTTTATAGAAAGAATAAACCATCTTTAAAACATTTTTTAACCAGTCAAATCCTAACATTGGGGCATTTGGACCACTACTGATAATAAACTAAAATTGAGGAGAGATTGGACTTAATATTCTAAATTTTATAAAAAGATTATTTAGCTTAAATTTGCAATATTTTCTTTAATTGACAACAATTAAACATGGAAATTTACAGCAATTAAACTATTGTTCTTCGTATCAGACTTTGTAAATTAATACATTACTGAGCGGAAAGGTAAACCTTTCATGGCTGAAAAGTTTAATTTATAATAACTTCTTATGGTCTAATTGGTAATCTTATGAGAAAAAAACTTTAAAAACTAGTAACTCATTCACTGCCATCGACGAGAAAAGTCGTCATTTGAAATCAACCGTTCAGTGCAAATGACGACTAAATTCGTCATTTGCATTGTTTTTTTACTGTGTGGGCGTTGGAACGAGCCCCCGCACCGTGTGAACAAACATCCCAGCTCTAAAGCCGATCTTCATCCGCGTACGGCTCACGTCACGTGATCAGGAAGGAGAAAATCCATGTGTTTTGGGACGCAGCTGTAAAAAAAAAGTGAGGAGTGAACCGGAAAAGCTTCTACCGATTACAGTTCGACAACGGATTATGAAAGAACAGATAAAGCTCGAAACGCGCGGATTCTTCCTGATGTAAGAGGTGCGTCTACTCTTTGTTTTGTTAGTTTTGGTGTTGACATCATCATAGAGCGCAACATTCTGTGACTCTTAAAAAAACTGTAAAAACGCTGGCAGCGAAGGGCTTTACTGATTAGGAAATGGCTGGAAGTGAATGAGTTAAATATAAGTTATCTTCCATTTTTCAAACTTTAAACCCATTAAGCTAACAGTTAACATTTTAGTTGTACTCACCGCTCTGGCCTCCCCATCGGGTAGTGTTAACTTTGAAATGGCACCAGTATGAAGAAGTAATGTTATCCTCTAAAAACCTTTTCCAGTACTGGTGGTGGCTTAATAAGCAGTCTGTAAAATGTCGGTCACATTCTGGCTTGGTTTTTGAGAGCTCCTGAAGATAAAATCCAACCATTTCTGCTGATTCTTAAGTAAGACCAGACAGGGATCCTGTTCCTCTTGCAGACAAAATCCACTTTTGGGTTCTAAGACTTACTTTAAGTGTAAACTAAATAAGAAAGAAATCACTTCTTCACAACTGTGGAAAACAAATGTCCTGCTAGCTTTACAGAGAGACTGAGTGTTAGTGTTTACAGTCCAAGGCTGGACAGATCTGGACTCGAGACTACCTAGATAAGGAGGAACGGAATCTAGCAGCATAAAAACCTTCCATCCAGGCTTTTGTAATAGCCTTTTTCCGTGAAGTGAAGAAGCAGCTGAGACAGGAAAATGCATGCATGAAGCAAATAACTGCTTTGGGTTTTTTTCAGGATGAAATAACAACATGGTCCAAAGTTCTCTGAATTTCAGTCATTCTCTCTGAATTTCCCACTATCTCTTTTATTTTATTTTTTTTTTGTATATACAATAGTCCTTATACATAGTTGTGTATTGTTTTAGTGCAAAGCTAAATTCAAGTCAGCAGGAAAAAGGATCAGCAGCAATGTTTATCTCAATAAAAGCTCAAGAAGATTTTCTGCCGTTTCCACCTTGTCTCACCTGCTAATCTTTGGTTTAAACTTTTTAATTTGCATAAGTCGTTGCAAAAAAAAAACCCCCACATGGCTAAAGACGTTTTATTCTTACCAAATTCTTACTCAGCAGATATCTGAAAGGTTGTTACAAGGTTGAATTCCTCTTTTTCTTCTCAACCTCATGCTGCCGGGGATTTCCTCAGACGCCCTCATTGATGGAGACATTAAAGGTGAAACTTCTGGTTGCTATATTTGTTCCCCATCATTATTTTCTCAGAATACCAAAAGAATTATGTCCCTTGTTTTGCTTCATTTCTGCCCTTTCATGTGTTTTTCCCCTTCCCTCATTCCTCCCTTTATCACCTACCTGGCTCCACAGCCCGCACTGTCATCGGCAAAATGTCCTAGCTTCCCTCCACAGCTGAGAAATAGAGAATGAAGACAGATTGTCCCTAATAATATGCTCATTACATCCTGTCCATCAGAGAGCAGAGTGGGACAAAGGGAGGAAATGGCATTTCTTTCTGTGTGCTCTCTCATCCTGACAGCCACGCCACCTTAGAAGTTTTAATCACGCTGCAATTTATTTTCACATTTACTCACTTGCATTTGTTGGGATTTTGGCCCCTTTCACTTTCTGTTTATTGAAGTTTGCGCCTGGTCTAAGAGGATTTTTGAATATTATGTTTTTTGCTGAGGAATGCATCCAGCTGTATCTGTTTCTCCAGAGCAAGCACGCGCCAAGCTACCACCGCCTTTCATCTAGCTCCTGCCAAGTGTAATCTGTTAAAGCCACGGTGAGCGGACTGAGGGGGAGAATTAAATGACTGTAACGCAGAAGGAATGTGGGCTATTCATCCTCAACAGACAGCAGAGTGTTATTTCTCCTTGACAATTTGCAGATGCTGTTAGAAGTGACTGCAGCCCTTCTATCAGGGGAGCAGAGTAAATAAGGCTCCTCATAGGCTGTTTAAATGTGGATACTTTCAGGAGTCTGGCTGCTGAAAGAGAGAGATTTGGGCATGAAGGCTCTTATGCTGAAGGGATGTTGTCTCTAACTCGGTCACAGCTGTCTCAAAAGCCTCAGCTATTGGAGCTTTTCAGACTTGATGACAAGTGGAAACACCTGACATCACAATACATCCCTACGTGCATCCTGAGTGACTGCTTGTGATTGGATCTCGACATCCTTTCTATATGCAAATAAACAGTTACCTGTGTCAGTCAGGTGTCAGGTGAGCTGCGTAAGAAAAATATCAAGTTCATTGAGATTTTTTGTAAAATCACAGATTCAGAACCTGGATCTCCTCAGGATTGACATTTCTAAAATTATTCTCATGTTTCTGGAATTTTTTTACCTTTGTTTTGACTGGAGAAACACGGGTCTAAACATTTCACCAGGGCAGAGGGCGGGCCAGAAAAGTAAGATTACTTTTAAAATTCCCTATAAATTTTTGTCCTGTCCACTATCAGAACTCGCGGTTAATTTTACCGGACCTTCTCGGCATGCATGTGTCTCCAGTTCACCGGGCTGGCCTGTAAGGAGCAGAAGCCAGGCCGTTTCAGAGACCAACCAAGCACCTGAACTGGGGGTATGTACTTAGAAATGGCCCGGCAGAGTCGCTCGGCGGGACTTGTGGTTAACAACCGGCATCTGTGAAGCAAAAACAGCAATTCTTCTGCTCATTGAGGGCCACACAACAACTCTTCTCCTCCCCTGAATGGATTAACCAAAATTGGATTTTTTAATGTTAGTAATGTCCATGGACACCTTTTGGTGCTGATCAGTGACATCACTCATTGTCTCAACCGCCGTGATAGGCTGACGTCTTAGTAAAGTCCTGAATGGAGACAAAATGGCTGAGAGGACTGAGCCATCATATTTTCCCTGTCACCTTCTCCCATCCCAGAAATATCTCTAAACTCATTTGTTATAAATGCAGCAATGGAAGTAACGGGGTAGCACTCTTATGTTTTTGATTGGTTTAGGATTTCCAGCATTCCTAATGAACATCCTTCAGAAATGTGCATATGAAAGATCACAGATGGCAGATGGAGGAGATGCAATCCACATATGGCTAATCTACCCTGGATCTACCCTGGAAGACCTTGTGGAAATGCAAACACCAAGAGAAAACAAAGTTTCAGGTTGAAGACTGGAAACAGGCTTTATTTGGTGTTTGCATTGAGTTGCTTTCACTACCTCCGAAGGGCAGTGATTGTATCTGTAATGATGTCCCATTGTAATTAGCTCACCTATTTTAACCTCACATCTTAACGGCCCCACTGTGGCGAGACTTTAAACAGGACAACAAGTTCCTGGTAGTTCCAAACGGTCCTGTTAACCCTCTTTTCACTTTAACCCCTGCACCCATCCCCAGGCTTTTACCCACCCACCCCTCTCTTTTATTCTCTTGTGCTTTCTTTTCTGATGCGCCTGCCTTTTTCAATGTCCTTCCACATACCTCCACTCGCTCCATACTTCCCACCCCCTGCAAACATTTGAACAGAGAAGCTGAACTGATTTCCTGCCAAGCTGCAGCTGAAGGTCTTTGTGTGGAGTACCATAAAGTGAAAGGCCTTCTTGTATGAGTTTGTCTCAAAGGTGCACTGGGAAAACTTTATTTCACCCAATTATTCTGCAAGAACTTCAGTCTGCTTTAGAGAGAAAAAACATGCGTAGTTCCAGTAATTTGTACTTTTTAACTTCAGAGCTATAAACTAATAACACGCAAGTCTTTGGTCCCAAATGTTGTATGTTGATTTTTTTTCTAGCTTCTTTAACGCAAAGCAACGTGCTTGGTGTAAATTTGCAAGGAAAACATAATATTATAATTTGTTCTTGAAGGATTTGTAGTGATTTTTTAATTCTAATTTTTATCCAAATATTGTTCCGTTTTTTGTTATGATCTCTTTCAATCATTTTTTTAATTTGTGTAGTTCTTATGAAGTGCCTTGATTTTAATCTTGAGCAGCACTACATAAAAAAATCTATTTCTTCTATTTTCTTTTGTGTGGAGAAATTAATGTTCTCAGTCCCAGCAGTTAAATGTGCAGTTGATTCTTCAGAAGCACTTTTGCATTATTGCTTAAAATGCTCTTAGCATACTGAAACCCAAAAAATGTAATGTTTTCTCCTAAAAAAGGGATAATTTTAATTGGCTGGAATGCTGGAAAATATCTTCCAAACATGTGAAATTTCTGTTCTCAAAGGGGCATTATGGAAGTTTGACAGCCAAAACATGTATAGAAATAATAAATTTCTTCTTCATACATTCTCCTGTAGAATGAGCCCTGGCATTTTTACTGTGATCGCCTGTTTTTCTGTAAAATCACAGAAAAAGAGAGATGCTCAGGTCGAGCAGGCTGCTTCATGCGCGTTCACGCTCAGGCATAGCCCGTAGCATTTGTTATCCGTAGCTTTAGCAGCAGAGAGTGAGGTAGTGCCACTTTGTCGCTGTTCCTAACGCCTAGTGACAAAGCTAGCTACATTTCTGATGACCCTGAGCTAATTTCTGTAGAATTTTCTTCTAGATATTTCCTGCAAATTAGCAACAAAATAGCCATTTTCGCTCCGAACCGTTCTTTGAACGTTGGTTCAGCTGTCATCAAGGATACAAAAGTTACAGATACAAAGGACGTCACTGGCGCTTTAGCTCACCTAGTAAGATGTCGGACTCCCGTGCAGAAGTCCTGGGTTTTATTCTGGATGTGAACATAGTTTATTTAGAGATTCTTTTTTACATTAATGGTATATTTTTTTACAGTAAGATGCCCAAATTTTTATTTGAGACTCGCCAAACGGCATTGAATTCACAGATGAAAAAGATGTGGGTTCAACTTTCATTTTGGAACAATTTTTCAAGCAAGGGAAGGGAATGATCTGAGCGTGCAGGACTGACCCATCTTAAACCTTTGTCGGCTGTGCTGAAGAGAAAGGTACATAACCAAATTATTGAATTAATTAATTAATTAGCTGCACGTTCTCCTGTCCTCTGTCCTCCGGGCCACACACACACACACAAGGGACTGTCTCAGCTGTTATTTTCATTAAGGAGTGTGCACGTACAGCATGCGCGCCTCGTGCACAAGCCTACTAATGAAGATGCTGTTACGCTTTTGGCCTGAGGGGGCAATCGCGAGCATAAAAATTCAAAACTCTATAAAGTCCCTTTAATGATTGGATCAGTATTCCTCCATAAAACTGACCTTTGACCATCATTCTTGGCTTGGATCAGCTGAACAGGAAGTGAAACCAGAGCCATGCTGCTAAGTGTCACAAAATGAATTATATGTTATTTTTGCTGTTTGCAAATTTCATTAGTGAGTTGTTTTACATGTTCTGTCTAGAGTCTGTTGTTGGGAAACGTTTAGATGACGGACCTGTTGTTTGTGAGCGCAGCCTGTGCTCTGTCGGCTGGCAGAGCTGTCTGTCAGTTTATTGCATTGGCTGTATGTATGTGGGCAGCCACCAGGGAGAGGAGAGCGAGTCTGAGGATGTCCAAGGTAGATTCTGGAAGTTCTGACTTTTGGTTCGTGGTTTCCCCCCCCCCCCCCCCCCCCCCCCCGATTGTTGGGTGCACTGAGCTGCTGTGTTTTAAATGAAAGAATAAACCAAGAAAGCTAAAAGTTCCCTTATTTTTTTACCATAATGATCCACACTGTATTAGCTAGCACAATAAACTGTTTAATTGATTACATAGATGCATTATGTTAGGAATTCTGTCAGAAAAGATGCCAGCAAAGGCTCAAAAACATAAAGCTGAACCCTCAGCAACAAGCATTGTATGTTCCTGCATTCTGGATGTGCATCTTGCGGGGAAGCCAGAAGTAAAGGGGTTGGACCTTTTGAATTGTGTGTATTTTCAAGAAGAAGCTTGCTTAAATCATAAGAAAAACATGGCCCACGTAACAATACCAACGCAAAAACAAAATCCTGATTCAGACAGAAATGACCTGTTATTTCAACCCATTTGCTTCCATCTAAAGGTTCCTCAGAGGTCCACATTAGACAAGTCCGCTGCTTTCTTCTAAAATCCTCGTTCACAAAGGAGGATAACATAGTTACTTATTAATTCTTTAGTGCTAAATTTTGACAGGACTCCCTCACTTAGCTGGTTCTGCATGGCTGACCTGGTGTTTATTTACAGACTGCTTGAGCTCATGCTGTTGGAGAGGACCCAAGTGGCGTCCGTGGTCTACCGAAATGTGCAGTGAGCAGTAAGTTGCCAACTGTATAGTGGTCCACGGGGGTTCACAGCTTCATAAGCTTCACTGATGTGATGTTTAATATGAACAAACACATGCTCTGAGATCACCCCAATTATCTTTATTTAGGCAAAAATGGGAGAATAAAGAAAAGCGAATCTTTTTTTATCCCTTTCTCATGTATGCTTTATAACACTCATGTGGTTTTCAGTTTATTTTCTTCTGGAAAACAAGAGCCTTACGTTCTATAACACTTATGCCCTTTTTCATGATTTAAAGGGACTTTACGGAGTTTTGAATTTTTATGCTCGCGATTGCCCCCTCAGGCCAAAAGCGTAACGGCAGCTTCAATAGTAGGCTCGTGCACGAGGCGCGCATGCTGTACGTGCACACTCCTTAACGAAAATAACAGCCGAGACAGTCCCGTGTGTGTGTGTGTGGGGGGGGGGGGGGGGGGAGGACAGGAGAAGGTGCAGCTAATTAATTAAATAATTTGGTTCTGTACCTTTCTCTTCAGCACAGCCGACAAGAGTTTAATATGGGTCAGTCCTCCTGCATGCTCAGATCATTCCCTTCCCTTGCTTGAAAAATTGTTCCAAAATGAAATTTGAACCCACATCTTTTTTATCTGTGAATTCAATGCCGTTCGGCGAGTCTCAAATAAAAATTTGGGCATCTTACTGTAAAAAATATACCATTAATGTAAAAAATACACTCTAAACTATGAACACATCCAGAATTGAACCCGGGTCTTCTGCACGAGAGTCCACCGTCCTACTAGGTGAGCTACAGCACCAGTGATGTCCTTTGTATCTGTAACATTTGTATCCTTGATGACACCTGAAACAACGTTCAAAGAATGGTTCGGAGCAAAAATGGCTATTTTGTTGCTAATTTGCAGGAAATATCTAGAAGAAAGTAGCTAAGGGTCCTCAGAAATGTAGCTAGGTTCATCACTAGGCGTTAGGAACAGCGACAAAGTTGCTGAGTTGGCACTACCTCACTCTCTGCTGCTAAAGCTACTGATGGCAAATGCTACGGGCTATGCCTGAGCGTGAACGCACATGAAGCAGCCTGCTCGACCCGAGCAACTCTCTTTTTCTGTGATTTTACAGAAAAACAGGCGATCACAGTAAAAATGCCAGGGCTCATTCTACAGGACCAGGGCATTGCAGGAGAATGTATGAAGAAGAAATTTATTATTTCTGTACATGTTTTGGCTGTCAAACTTCCATAATGCCCCTTTAACTATGAAAACGTGTACATTGTTAAACCTCTTATGGACATTTTTATTTTGACTGCACTTCGGCTTTGAGTGGAGTGGTTTTCTTTCTGCTGCAAACTTTAAAACCAGTTCATCCCTGCCCAGTTTAGGTAGTGTTTTTAAGTAGCTGTTTTAAAAATTTCAGAGGAAGGACATAAAGTTTGTTTTATGGGCAAAATTAAACAGTTGGGTCTTAAATTTGATCGTTTTACTTCCTATCTTGGGTTCTGAGCCCGGCGTGCTTTGGGGTAAGCGGCTGCGTGCGTGCCTGGGATGCTTGTCGTTGTTATCTCCCGGGGCTCTGGCGCGGCCGCTAGTTGTGCCCACCTGGGTGATCATCTACGCTTCTCAGGAGGGGTGTTGGGGCTTCTCCGGTGGCAGTCTCCCTGGAGTCTCCATGCTCCGGGGAGACCTATGGATCTCTTGAGGCTTGGAACTCCTCCACATCCTTGGGGTCAGGTTTGTGGCCCCTCACACTCACTATTTGATACTCCTAAAGAGAAACCTTACACGCAAAAGGTGCTCACATGGTGCTCAAGAAAAAATAAATAAATCAGAATGTACTTTTTAAATGAAGAAAAGAGAAAGTTGGCAAAACGAGCAAAACAGAGATGAAACGAAAACGGGGTTCACCTGCCGGCCTGTTTAGGCTGTGTTTTCAGTGATTTGGGTGTTTCAGCCGAAAACCGAAATGTTCTTTTTGGGTCATTTTCGGTCGAAAGTTTTCGGTGGCCGAATTTTTGGCGCATCCCTAAAATACACACACACCACACACATTTAGGCTTCTGAGATGATTACCGTCACTGTCCCATGACCAAGCAGTTACACATCATCACCCCCCTCACTCTTTGAAACAGATACACACACGGAAACAAGATGGAAAACATTTTGGTTATTAATATCGGCTCAGTTTAATTAATTGGACCGATGCTGATATGTTAAAAAATGTGCAGCAGCCACCTAACTGCTGACCTTCCACCTCCATCCACAGGAGTACGGAGCTCATACACCAGTCAGCACAGTCAGCTTGGGCAGGATATGAGATCAGCCGTGTCTCCAGATCGCCACATTGCTCCAATTTACGAGGACCGGACTTTCCGGGGTCCGTTGTATCGCAACCCTAGCCACACCCAGCAAGGGACCCTCTACAGGAGCAGTTCAGGTTTGTCCCATATTATTATTATTTTTAGTTTTATTTATTTTATATTATTCTTTATTCCTACTCATGTATTGTTTGTTTTGTAACAGTAATTTACAGCACTTGATTCATCAAACCTAACATGCAAATTGTTAAACGGGAGCGTAGTCAAAGTTAACGATGAGTATACAGTGATCCCTCGCTACTTCGCGGTTCGTTTATCGCGGATTCACGACTTCGCAGATTTTTTCTTTGGAGCCTTATTCAAGGGAAATTCGCCGATTCGCAGTATTTTTCACCGATTCGCGGTATTTTTCTATGCGAAATATCAAGACATTCCTGTTTTTTTTCATCAATTTCATCATAAAATTTACTTTTTGTAATAAAACTATAAAAAAAAAAAACAAGTAAAAAAATGTTTCTTGAGTTTTACCCACAAAAAGAGAATGTGATCATACGATAATTCAATATAGTACTGTACTGTAAATATGGTGTCCCTACTTCGCGGATTTTCACCTATTGTGGCCAGGTCTGGAACGCATTACCGCAATAAACGAGGGATCACTGTACACAAAATTCTTTATGGTTTTGTCACTCAAACACAGTAAAAAACATCAAAACTAACAGGTTTAGGCAAAATTAAATTCTTCTGAGTCACAAGTAAATCATCATTTGACAGAAAGCTGTTTGAACAAAGAATTCAGTCCTTTGAACGTGCCGTGTCTTAGTTTTGACTGTGTTTGAGTTTCACTGACCAGTCTCCTAACTCCTCTATTACCTTGCAGAAAATCCTCATTTCTTTACGGGTTTTTTTTCCTCCCTGCTGTATCTGCATGCAGATCCAAAAGCGTTAGAATTTTTCACTCATCTTCTCAAACCAAACACATCTTTTTCCCATCAGGTGTAATGTCCTCTTTGAACTCTAATATCTTACGGTATTTGTTATTTGTTCAGCATGCCCTTGACTCCGGTGTGTTGTCTTCATAGAAGGAACAGTCTCTTTCTACACATCAGCTCTACATACGTTATGACTTTCATCTTTTTACTTCATCTTGATTTCCATTCTGCTTTCTTTTAATTCCACCCCCTCTTTCCATGCTTCTTCCTTTCCTCCTTTCATCGTCAGAGAGAGATGGGTGAGTTAATAGGCAGGTTCTGATATGTCATTCCACCTCAAAGGAATCCATTACCAGTGTGTCACAGTGAGCTCTGGAAAGAAGGACAAAGAGTCAGAGGACTTCTTGGATACCCGCTGCCTCCTCTATTCTCATCATCTCTGTCCTGTCTGAGATCCAGATGCGTCGTTTCCACGGGGACACACACTCCATTCAGCTCTCCCCCGTGGCTAAGCAAAGATCTGCTTAGACCAATAAGTGACCTGATAAATGCTATTGATTCAGTGTAGGAGCCCCGAATAACAAGCCACAGCATGTTTATACCCGTGATATTGAGGGTGGAGCAGCTGGAGGGGCTATTCAATATGGTGTCTGTGCATGAGCTGTTTCATTAGAGAAATCCAATCTGATCCTGGGTTCTTCTTTATTTTGAAATGATATTTCCATGGATCATTTTCTCCATATTGGCTTCTTTTGGAAGCATATACTTTACTTTTTCATCCAAGTTGGATCAAGATTTTGTTAAACAGAGTTCATCGATTCTTTACTGAAAACGTAACAAAGAGATTTTAAATAGTTGTGCAAACCTACGCTGTGTTGCCTAGAACTGACCTTACATGTTTTCTGAGGTTACCTTGTGGGGAAAAAGCTACATTGAGGGTTTGAGATGCTGCTCAGCATAGAAATGCACTGATGCAAGAAAATGTGTTTTTGGAGAATGGCCATGCGTTGACGTCTTGGCTCCTGGTAGGAGGGAGTTTGTGAGCGCTCGTGCCCGGTTCTTTGGGATTGCTGATACAGATCTGGGCAGCACAACGGTCACGCTGGCACAAATCACATGGCTCAAGTCAGGAGGAGGGCTAAATCTTACCAGCTTGTTCATGCAGTCTCGCTTTTGTGAAGCATCATACTCGAAACTGGGTTCTAAGAAAGCATGTCGTCGTGCTTTAATGCTTGAACTTTCATTGTGTTGTTTTCGGACCTGGATTACAGAAACCGTATAGAATAAGGATGCAGGATCAAGAAGAAGTTGAAGAAAGACTTTTCGGATCCTCGAGCAAGTGGAGTCCTCCCTAGGATTCAGCATAACCCCACTGGCTGCACAGTTTTGTAAAAGCAAAACGACGAGTAAACGAGTCTGAAGGAGAATGGCTGTGCTTTGTGCAACCATGGGAGCTCCGTTTTTACCCTCATTAACTGGTTCCAGATTTGAAGGCTTGTCCTGGCATAACCCTAGCTTTCTTGTATTTTCAACTTTGTGTAAACGCTACATCTAAGGTTTGTGTGGGTTACATTTTCATTCTGCGTGTGTGTGTGTGTGTGTGTGTGTGTGTGTGTGTGTGTGTGTGTGTGTGTGTGTGTGTGTGTGTGTGTGTGTGTGTGTGTGTGTTAATGCCCCTGTGCTTTTGTTTTTCAGGTGTGGGGAGCCTGAAGAGGACATCCAGCCAGCGTAGTGCCATGACTTACCAAAGAAACAACTATGCTCTTAACACAGCGGCCACCTATGCTGATGCGTATCGGTCCACACAGTACCGGCCCTCCGATCCAACCTATGCTCGCCAGGCTCTGGTCATGGATGACGACGCCACCAGGTCTCCTTCTATCGACAGCATTCAGAAAGATCCCAGGTTAGTTCGTCACCTCCAGCTTTAGTTACCAATGTGGATTGGGCTCCTAAAGCTTGGTTTATGCTTGACGCATTCACTTTCCACTTGGTGATGCGGCTTGCGGATGGAACGCGCTTCACAACTCGCAGCGTTTATGGTTCATGCGGCTTGTCTCTGCCGTGAGCCAATATTCTCCCAAACTGTAGGGGGCAGCATGGAGCTCTACAGCATGCATCCAAGACTACACCATAGTGGAAGTAGAAATTACTGTTGTTTACAACATGGCATTTTTAACAGCGTCCTCGTCTTTTCCGACAGTGTGAGCTATTTCTCTCCAAGAATTATTAACAACATGTTGATCATGGTGATTTCTGAGCTGAATCATACAAATGTCTGTATTTACGAACCTCTGCCATACTAGTTCTTGCCGGTCTGCCATGTTTTTCCGCGTCCGACCGTCTGCATGGTTAGAAATTTTCCTAGGTGCACATTGCGGAAATTTTGGGCCGTGCGGAGGCGCGGTGGAGGGGCGTGGTTGTTAAAATGACGCAATTTTGCCGTGCGGACCTCGCGGACGCGTCAAGCATAAACCAACCTTTAGTCATCCAGAGAGGTTACAAGGCTGCTGGGTCAACACTGGTGTCCTCTTACTGTTCAAACACAGAGTCCCCTGGAGCTACACAAGGCTCTGACCATTAGGCGTGCTCAAATGTGCCTGCCCACTTAACAATAGATCCTCACATGCACCGAAGGGCTGCGTCTGCTTTTGTTCTGTTAGTGTAGGGTGTAGATTGTCTCTTGCAGTGAATCCAAACTGAACACACCAGAGGATTTTCTTATACGTATGCATGCAGCTGTGCACAACAGAAACAGCGGTAATTCAGGAAAAGCAGCAGACTTTGGATTTCCTTCAGGATATTTTAACAGTTTTCCTGCATTTTTTGTCATTTTTTGTCGATACACTGCAAAAACAACAATCCAAGTGTGGTGAATCGACACTCTTTTATGGATGTGACCAAAATTCCTTGGATTTATCATTGTACCCTGAGGTGCATAAGTGTTCTTAGAAGGTAAAAAAATGTTGATACCTTTTCACCCCACTTGTGTGCTTTCAGAGAGTTTGCATGGCGTGACCCAGAGCTTACGGAGGTAATCCACATGCTGCAGCATCATTTCCCCTCCGTCCAGGCTAACGCAGCTGCCTACCTGCAGCACCTGTGCTTTGGTGATAATCGAATTAAAAGCGAGGTGGGTGTTATACCACCGATCCCACACGGAGTATATTACAGCTAATCCATCAAAACCCCTGATGATTATTACACGTTGTTCATCATTTTATGTTCATTTATTAAATCCCAAGCTTTGTTTGAGCTCTGAATCCTTGCTGTGATTGTGCACGCTCAGAGCTTTTGTGACATTATAGATTTTTGTTTATTTTGTGCAAATAATGTTGTACATATGTAATTAATGAAATTTCACATTATTTGCCTTTAGTTTGCATAATTTAAACCAATGCAGCTGGGAAAAGTTTATATATATATATATATATATATATATATATATATATATATATATATATATATACACACACACACATATATATTTATAGCTATTTATTAGTTTTTTTACTTTATTCAGCAATTTTTTTATAATTAACAAAATTTTGATTTGTCAACTCAAACAACTTTAAATATAAATATTTCTGCTCATATTTATATGTCTTGTTAGCAAATAAGTATCATATACTATAGTATACCTATAGAATATACACTCACAGTCTTATTTTAAGTTTGTTGCATATTTGTTAAACATGTTGCATTTTGATTTAACTAAATAACAATAAAATAATCTATTTTCATTCACAAATAATTCATCCTAATGCATACAAACTCAAACTGTAACAGGATTCCTTTCGTATAAATATTTTTAGAGCTCAGCTTAATTAAAATTTCCATTCTTGTTGTAAGACTTTTTTTCCTTGGCCATAATTTAGCATTGCTATTCCAGAGAATTTGTTTTTGGTATGAATAAATTCCCTGAGTAGATTTGCTTATCACATGAATAAATTCATCACTTCTCATACATACAAATAATAACATGGTTCTGTAATAATCTCATTCCTCGTCATTAGGTGGGTCGTCTGGGAGGTATTAAACACCTGGTGGACCTGCTGGACCATAAAGTGGTTGAAGTCCAAAGGAACTCCTGTGGAGCTTTGAGGAACCTTGTTTATGGAAAAGCAATGGATGACAACAAGATTGCTGTCAGGAACGCCGGAGGCATCCCAGCTCTGCTCCGACTGCTTAGGAAGTCTGTGGATGCCGAAGTGCGGGAAACTGTTACAGGTGAGTCGGCGTGTGTGGAAACTCCCCTGTGTTTGCTTCTTGAAACTGAAAGACTAAGGTCTTGTGTTATTTGTGAAACACCACCAGTCACTCTGACTTTTGGAATGTGAAAATAGTCTACCCCTATTTCCTGCATTAGCCAATGATAGAAAATAGATGGGGGAACGCTCGGATTAGAAACAGTCACACAGATCTACTTCACACTGAACGTTAGCATTCATGGACTCACCCACCTTGGCTAATGACCGGGAAAGGCTGTTGTTCATTTAGCGTCCAGGAAAGAGCAGGGCACATCTCTGCTAGTAGAAGCAAACTGTTAGCATTAACAACAACACAGCAGGACTCCTTCAGACTTGATATATTTATGGAGATAAAATAATATTGCAGAGAAAATGGAGGCAGTTGAATACTTTTGTTGTTGTTAGCCAATCAGAGGTGAGATTGGCAGCTAATGCACTGAAAAATGAGCGAATGAGAACCTTAAAGTTAATTAAAGATCAGAACCCGACATTTGCAACCCACTATAGTAAATAAGCTGCTATCTTGGTATTTTTGCCGTCCGTAGACCATTTCTTGGTTTCTTGTATCCATTAGTGTCGGCTGGTTTAGCTGAATTGCTGCAGCAAAGTGAGCAGTGTCAGTTTTTTTAAGGTGGCGGGCCAGTGTTGAACGTGGTACTAGCTTTTTCACCTCGTTAAGTTCCCAGTTTGCACACATTACACTATTTATTACACTCCCTTGGCTGTTCACTTATAAATGCATCCAAATTACAGACATGTTCTCTCTCTTGAGCTGACATCTGTGTTAGCTAACTGCTTCATGTTATCGTCGTCGTCTTCCTCCGCTTATCCGGGTCCGGGTCGCGGGGACAGCATCCCAACTAGGGAGCTCCAGACTGTCCTCTCCCCGGCCTTCTCCACCAGCTCCTCCGGCAGGACCCCAAGGCGTTCCCGGACCAGATTGGAGATGTAACCTCTCCAACGTGTCCTGGGTCGACCCGGGGGCCTCCTGCCGGCAGGACATGCCCGAAACACCTCCCTGGGGAGGCGTCCAGGAGGCATCCTGACCAGATGCCCAAACCACCTCAACTGGCTCCTTTCGATCCGGAGGAGCAGCGGTTCTACTCCGAGTCCCTCCCGAATGTTCAAGCTCCTCACCCTATCTCTAAGGCTGAGCCCGGCCACCCTATGGAGGAAACTCATTTCGGCCGCTTGTATCCACGATCTTGTTCTTTCGGTCATTACCCAAAGCTCATGACCATAGGTGAGGATTGGGACGTAGATCGACCGGTAAATCGAGAGCCTGGCTTTCTGGCTCAGCTCCCTCTTCACCACGACAGATCGGCTCAGCGTCCGCATCACTGCACATGCTGAACCAGTCCGCCTGTCGATGTCCCGATCCCTCCTACCCTCACTCGTGAACAAGATCCCGAGACACTTAAACTCCTCCACTTGAGGTAGGACCTCTCTCCCGACCCGGAATTGGCAAGCCACCCTTTTCCGGTCGAGAACCATGGTCTCAGATTTGGAGGTGCTGATCCTCATCCCAGCCGCTTCACACTCGGCCGCGAACCTACCCAGCAAGAGCTGAAGGTCAGAGCCTGATGAAGCTAGGAGGACCACGTCATCCGCAAAAAGCAGAGACGAGATTCTCCTGCCACCAAACTCGACACACTCCACACCACGGCTGTGCCTAGAAATTCTGTCCATAAAGGTAATGAACAGAACCGGTGACAAAGGGCAGTCCTGGCGGAGTCCAACCCTCACCGGGAACAGGTCCGACTTACTACCAGCTATGCGGACCAAACTCACGCTCCTCTGGTAAAGGGACTGAATGGCCCTTAACAGAAAGCCACCCACACCATACTCCTGGAGCGTCCCCCACAGGGGACACGGTCATAACACACACACACACACACACACACACACACACACACACACACACACACACACACACACACATTGGATTGGTTGGGCAAACTCCCATGCCCCCTCCATCACCCTTGCAAGGGTATAGAGCTGGTCCACAGTTCCACGGCCAGGACGAAAACCACATTGCTCCTCCTCAATCAACTATCGATTGGACCCTCCTCTCCAGTACCTTGGAGTAGACCTTTCCAGGGAGGCTGAGGAGTGTGATCCCCCTATAGTTGGAACACACCCTCAGGTCACCCTTCTTAAAGATGTGGACCACCACTCCGGTCTGCCACTCCATGGGAACTGCCCCCAATGGCCACGCAATGTTGCAGAGATGTGGCAACCATGACAGCCCTACAACATCCATAGCCTTGAGATACCCAGGACGAATCTCATCCACCCCCGGGGCTCTGCCGCTGTGTAGTTGTTTGACTACCTCAGCAACTTCTGCCCCCGAGATTGGACAGTCCATTCCCAGGTCTCCCGGCTCTGGTTCCTCTTCGGAATGCGCATAGGTGGGATTGAGGAGCTCCTCAAAGTATTCCTTCCACCGTCCGACTATAGCCTCAGTTGACGTCAGTAGATCCCCATCCCCACTGTAAACAGTGTGAGCGAGTTTCTGCCTTCCTCTCCTGAGGCGCCGGACAGTTTGCCAGAACCTCTTTGGAGCCTATCAATCGTCTTTCTCCATGGCCTCACCAAACTCCTCCCACTCCCAAGATTTTGCCTCGGCAACTGCCATTGCTGCACCCCGTTTGGCTATCCGGTACCTGTCTGCTGCCGCTGGAGACCCACAGACCAGCCACGCCCTGTAGGCCTCCTTCTTCAGCCTGACGGCTCCCCGAACCTCTAGTGTCCACCAGCGGGTCCGGGGGTTGCCACCACGACTGGCACCGGCCACCTTGCGACCACAGCTAGCAACAGCCGCCTCAACAATCGCAGAGTGGAACAAGGCCCACTCGGAGTCAATGTCCCCCTCTGCTCTCGGGACGCGGTCAAAGCTCTGCCGGAGGTGGGAGTTGAAGAAAGTCTTAACAGGTTCTTCTGCCAGGTGTTCCCAGCAGACCCTCACTATGTGTTTGGGTCTGCCAGGTCTACGCGGCATCTTCCCCTGCCATCTGATCCAACTCACCACCAGGTGGTGATCAGTTGACAGCTCCGCTCCTCTCTTCACTCGGGTGTCCAAAACATACGGCCGCAGGTCAGATGATACGACTACAAAGTCTATCATCGACCTGCGACCTAGGCTGACCTGGTACCAAGTGTACCGATGGGCATCCTTATGTTCGAACATGGTGTTCGTTATGGCCAAACTGCAGCTTGCACAGAAGTCCAATAACGAAACACCACTCGAGTTCAGATCAGATGGGCCGTTACTCCCAATCACACCCCTCCAGGTCAAGCTGTCATTGCCCACTTGAGCATTGAAGTCCCCCCAGCAGGACAATGGAGTCCCCTGATGGAGTACTATCTAGCACTCATCCCAGGGACTCCAAAAAGGGTGGGTACTCTGAACTGATATTTGGCCCATAAGTACAAACAACAGTCAGGACCCGTTCCCCGACCCGAAGTCGGAGGGAAGCTACCCTCTCGTCCCCCGGGGTAAACCCCAACACACAGGCAGAGAGTCTTGGGGCTAAGAAAAAGCCAACCCCAGCCCTCCGCCTCTCACCTGGAGCAACTCCAGCAAAGGAGAGTGTCCAACCCCTCTCAAGGACTTGGGTTCCAGAGCCAATGCTGTGTGTCAAGGTGAGTCCGACTATATCTAGCCGGTACCGCTCAACCATCTTCCACAAGCTCCTGCTCCTTCCCCGCCAGCGAGGTGACATTCCTTGTCCCAAAAATCAGTTTTCTTGTCCGGGGATTGGACCGCCAACGCTCCTGCCTTGGTCTGCCACCCGATCCACATTGCACTGGACCCTTCATGTTCCTCCTGCGGGTGGTGGGTCCACAGTTGGATGAGCCCATGTATCCGGTTGGGGCTGGGCCCGGCCGGGCCCCATGGGCGAAAGCCCGGCCACCAGGTGCTCGCTCACGGGCCCCAACCCCAGGCCTGGCTCCTGGGTGGGACCCCGGTAACCCTCTGGGCCGGGTACTCCGACTCTTTGACTTTACCTCCATGAAAGATCCTGTGATCATGTGCTACATGTTATGGAGCGTAAATTGCCAGACTACCTTAAATAGTGGGACTTGCGGCGTTGTTGTCTGTGAAACAAAGAATACTGACGTAGAGGAACTTTAAATTTAAAACTCAGCAATTGTTTCTTCGTTTGAAAGTCTCTTTCTCAGCCTGAATTTAAAAAGTAATTTTTGTTGTTTTATATGGTTAAATCTGATTTCTCCCATCGATTCCTATTTCCTGAAGATCATGTGATTGGATCGGAGCATCCCTATTGTTAATCAAATCAATTTCTGTGACCGTTGTTCATGTCATCTTCTTCCTGTGAGACTATATTTGGTAATGCAGAGTAATTTAATGAGTAATGATCCTTGACTTGACTTGACTTGACTTCACTTGTACTTTATTTCGAACTAATGTTAAAAAAAAAAAACTTTTTTTATACAGCACAACTCGACACAAAGGCAATCAAATAATAAGGTCCGAAAAGGAGTAGTTAGAAGTAAAACTTGTACATTCCTACCCCTTCTCACTTATTTTAATTCAACTTATCTCAAAAACAAAATTTAAAAATTAAGAAACATATCTATATAAAAATAACAATAATACAGAGAACAAATAGATTAAACATACTCGACAATCAACTTCTTGTATAATTCTATTTAACCCAGCTCATCAACATAATTATCCAATAGATGTTTTTTGTAGCTCTTCCTAAATAGATTTACCTTTACACAATTTTTCAAATCTTCACTCAAATTGTTCCATAGTTCAACCCCACATATTGTTGTACACATACTCCTCTTTGTTGTCCGAACTCCTCTAAACATGAAAACATTTTATATTTCGTTTTGGGACAGCGGTTAATGGTTTCTATTAAATTTTCCTGAGAGGTTAATTGTTATTTTATATGGTATACAGTTAAACACGTCGATCGATCTTGCTTGTTTTGATTTGTTTCTTTT